GCCCAAGTGTACTGTTAACAGTGTTATGGTTTTGTATTCTGTTTCTCTTTTGACAATTTGTTAGTAAGGCCTGGTGTCCCTGAGCCCTGATAACAGTAGTTACTTCAGAGTGGGGTTTTCAGCAGTGTCTTTGCCCCAGCTGTTAATGTAGACTGAAGCAGCATTTCTAGCCATGAATCTGAGATGTCATCCTAAGTTTTTTAAGCTATTGGTCAGGAAACAAGAAATTGTTCTGTTAGTTTTCAGAAGCTGTGGAGAGACCTTGAAGATCTCCTTGAGTTACATCCTGACACTCAACAGCATTTAAGACTGAAAAAACTCCCAAGGAGAGGAAATAGTTTTGTTTTACACGGTGACTACTATCCACCTGTTGCTACTTTTAAAAAATATCCAAAAGCTTATTCAGATATTGGATGGGTAGCTACTCATGTTTCATTGAATAACACCATGTTTAGATGAGTAAGATTTTGAGTATAGTATTTGGAGATTCTGTTACTAGGAAACTTCACTTTTGGTAAACAAGCGAGTACTTTGGCTCAAGTATCATAATTGGTACTATTTGTTGTTCCTGCCAGTTGTGGCTAATGCTGAAGCCCTCAGCTAAGCAAAATTTCCATTGAAGCCAGAGGACAAGGAAGTAATACTGCTTTATTGTAAATAATGGCAATTATAAAGCCTTAAGTTCTGTCTGCTGTGCAAACTCGTAGTTGGTTTTCTTTTTGCCTTAGGCACACCTGGCACTTGATGTGTGATATTTACATTTTGCCTGTGCTTGCTCTATAAAATAGTGATTATAATTTAGTTCTGTACTTTTTTTCTCAATTTCTTTTAAGGATCTGCTCATGCTGTTTTAAGCAGCTACTGGTCAGAGCAACTGGGGAAGAAAGAAATGCTTGGTAAGAGAAACTGTTTTATTGCAAAGCTGCCCATTTATTATCTACTCCCTAGAAAAGACAAGGGTTTATTATTACTGCAGTCCAAACTGTAGTATTAAGTCCCTGTCCATTTTCTCAGTATGAGTAGAACATGATGTAATATTTTGCATGTGAGGTAATCTCTGATAAATTGCTTTCTTTCCTACCCACCACCATGGCACATCCTGCCCACAGGGAGTTGGAAGTGTCGGTTTGTGGATCATAACTCTCTGCAGAGAGTTTTTGATTTCAGCTTTTGGATTTTAGTTCTCCTGACCTTTTATCACAGGTGAAGCTGGTGAAACTCAGGTGATGCTGTTTACGTGTTTTGATTGGATTTTACTTTCCTGCTTGGTCTTTCTGGTTTCCATGTTGGGTATTGGGAAGAGGTATCAGTATTTTCATTAACCATGTGTACTTTCCAGTACACTTTGAGCAGTGTTTTCCTTTCCCCTCATGTATACTGAGACCAAAACACCTCATATAATTTCTGGTCCATGTTGGAATTTTCTTGAGAGTTGCTCCAGATCTGTCCTTTCAGTGACTTATTTAGGAAACTTAGGGTTTAGAATAGGTATTGTTGTTATGGCTGGGTAAGAAGAGATAGTGTGTTTTTAATACCAATTTTTAATCTATGCATTTAGGTATGAAGATAGTTTTGCTCAGGATTATGAACTTTTATGTGGTAGCCAGGCAGGAGATAAGAAATAGTAGTCTCTTAGATTACAGGAAGAGAAAGAACGTGACTGACCTTATATATGTAAGAGTGGGGACATGGTACATGGGCATGAGCAGATTTTATTTATTTGTGATTTTACATGCAGGCTTACTTTTAAATGATTAAATCTTGAACGAATTTGAGATGACTGGACCTCTTAAAACAAAGAAAAGATTTATTGGTATTCTTTCAGTCAAGGGGATGTGCTTTTGTGCTGGTTTAAGAGTTAACCAGCAGGGGAAATGAACTCAACTCAAAGGAGAGATTATAAGTCAGAATAACAATTTACTAAAATAATACAGTAAGTACAATCATACAAACAAACAATTGGTCTTAACCCACAAAACCCAAATGTATAACCCAGTACCCTGGGGCATGAACAAAGTGGTGTTCCTTGGGCCCCGCTTGAGTCCCAAGTAAAGGGAGAGGGGAAGAACCTGCTGGTAGGAGAGCTGTTGCAGTCTGGTCAAAAGTGGTGATTGGAGTCCAGTATAGGGTGGTGGTCCAAGTCTGTTTGAGAGCGATGAGCCGCAGTCCTTCTCTGGATCCCACAAAGTGGTTCAAAATGTTCCAAGACTCCAAGATTATATATCCTGCAGTTCAGGCAGGAATGCTCAGCACTTCCCTCAGGGCGGGGAGTTCCACAAAGGGTGTGAGGACAGGAGCATCCTCCTATCTCACAGGCCTCTTAACACCTAGTTTGTAGCCTGAGGAGTCAGGCTCTATGGGCAGATGGTGTAAATGGTTCATTGATAACAGTTTCTGGGAAATGGCATGGAAGGCTATAGAATACACAGTTTTGGGTTACACCCATACCCTGATGAACTGGTCTCAGTTGTCCTAACTAGGACAGCTTTATAGACCACATATTTGTTGTTAAGCAAGAAACTCAAGGAAAAAGACCCGAGAGAAACTGTTAATATATGACAATGCTAGATAAAGATGGATTGGGTGACCCTTTGCTTCTCATGTTTGTAGTGCTTTGCCAGAGAACAGAAGAACAAGAGAAGCAATACAAAATTCCCTCATCCCCTGCCTGGATCCCCTTTTAAAGAAACTGTCTCAAGCAGCAAAGGCAATTGATACTGTCATCAGCTTCTCTAATGGCTTCAGCACAAAAAAAGTCCTGTCTTTCCACAAGACAGGTTTGGGTTTTTCTCATCTTGCATGCAAATATGTCCTCAAGCTTCTTCTGTGGTACAGATCGTACAGACCAGATTTAAATACAACAAGTTAATTTGATGTCTGATTAACACGTGGTCTCGACTGTGTTTATGAGGAAGCTCTTTTCCTTGCGTGCATGTGGCTGAGGGGTAACAGGCAGTACTAGGGAGAATTCTGTTCCTAGTGAGATTATTTGGAAAAGATGGCTGGCATTCAAGGAGATTCCACATCACCAAATATTAGTACGTAAGGGCACCTTCTGACTTTTTAGAAACCTTCGTGGCAACTTCTGTAATATCTGATACTTTATATTGCGAGAGGAAAGGAAGAATTTCTTCCATCAAATGAAGGATCTGTTAGTTCCCAAACAGATTACATATGAAATAATATAAATGTATTGTCAGATTTCTCTGGCTATGGTGACCTCTAGGAGGAGGTCAGCTGCAGCCCTGCTGAAGCATCAGACTTAATTTCCTGTCTTTGGGTTCTCTTCCTACTTTTATTAGACTAAGTTGTCAAACAACAACCACCCCCATCAAGTACAAAGAGAATTTTCCAGGTGAAATACTTTATGATCTTTCTTGAAACTGTGTACATGTCCCTGAATTTAAGCTGCTGGCTAAATCAAGGTTCAGTATCAGTCCTTGCCTGTCTTTCATTTGAGGAGTCTCTGCAATATTTAAAAACTATGATCTCAGATATACAGATTTGGCAGTTGAAAATGAGTGCAGTGTACAGCAGCTGTCTGTGTATCCAGCCCTTCACATGGTTTTCACATTTCTAAGGTAACATTTATAAACATGCATAAGGAATTCCATATCACCAAAGAGATTAAAGAGGGCTTCCCAAATTCCTGTGATGAAAAGAGGCTTATCCAGGACAATTTTTAATCTCAGGGGAAGCTCGAGGAATCTTGCTGTACCTGTTTACTTCAGACAACTGTGTTAATTTGTGGGGAAATTTGGTTCTTGTTACTGCCTTTAACTTCTCTGATTCATTCCTGGTACAGAACAGCTTTATAGCATTTCAGGGTTGGTTTTTTTTTGGGGGAGAAACCAAACAAAAACCACCACCACCAATAACAACAACAACTAAACAAAAAAAACCCAGAAGAGGTTGCTTCATGAAGGTCCAATAAATCTGCCTGCATTTACGTTTTTGCTAATTTGAATTCTCATGAAGTCAAGAGTTTTGCAGAGTTGTAATCACAGCTTTCATCCTTTCCAAGTAATCTCAACATACAGATTGGCAACATCAGATTTATGCACAGGTGTAACATTTCTGCCAAAGGTGTTTCCCTGCATCAATCACCAGATTTATCCACCTTATTTCTTAGAATGAAAAAAAGTCTTGGAGATCTTAACTTCATGTAAGCTGAGGAACAAGTGCTCCTTTCCTCCTTCCTTTATGTGGTTTAGAAATCCAACCAAAATAGCAGTGATTTCTTAGAATAGATATTATTACAAGAGTGGCACTTGTTCCTGAGTGGATGTCATTATGAGGAGATCATGAAGACAATCCCTTAGTCCTTAAATTCTCTAAGCAATGGTCATTTAGCTCCGTGTAGGCTGCTGAGAAGCTCCTCACAACAACAGGATACTGCCAGTACAAGGCCAGTGGCTGAGTTGGGAGTGCAGGGGGTGATTCTGTGAGATCAGCACACTCCATTTCACAGGCCTTGTGCCTGCTCCTAAACTTTCCTGTCTCAGGTTAATCACAGAGCAGTTCAGGGCACTGTGAATTTAGCTGCTATATATTGTTGTTACAATTGGACATACTTGTTTTTATTGAAAATATGTAGAAAATCTCCATGTAGTATGAGGCTTTCCTAGTAAACGTGGAATGGACATGCAGTAACTTTGTGATCTAAAGGTGAGTGCACATCAGAGACTCTCTCCAGAGGCATTGCTGTTAAATGAAAACCTCTGGTTACTGAAATGTGCCCTGCAGGCCTGGTTGCTCTCAGACATAGTGTGAAATATCAGTGCTTCTGTGGGAGAGAAAGAATAGATCAAGTATTATTTTCGTATAAGCTTGGCTAAACCTTCCTTTTGTGGGTTATTTTTTGGTTTTCTTCTACTTTGGAAGTTTCTTTAAAAATAAAATAAAACGGGCCAATATGAAAACAATCTCAGTAATTCTGCCATGAAACAGCCAGTACTGCTTGAACAATTAAAGAAGAAAGAAACCACCCAGCCAACCTCTGAAGATTTGAAATAATCTCTTTTATTTAAATGTGCTCTCTTGAGGGACCTTCAGACCTGGCAATACCAACTGATCAAATTTAGCATGGCTTGAGTCTTTAAGAGTCGATAATATTCAGTGGAAGCAATACTCATTCCTAGGTGATGTTCTGACAACTTAAAAACAATAACCTGAGGCTCTATAAATGGAAAAGAACAGAAAGTATTAATATCAATCTTTAGATAGGTTCTGTTTCTGCTCTTAGAGTGTCTGCTTTGTCTGACAATTCACCAACCTGAGCCAAGAGGAGCTTTCTTATCAGCAGTGGCTCAGAAATAGTTTGAAAGTGTCCAGCACACCTGCCATCTGTTGAAGCCTGTGCTCTGCAAGGGTCTGAATGCAATTACCCTTCTTATAATAGTGGGGTTGAGAGGGAAAATGTGCCCTTGAGCTTTGAACAACTCCTGGAGCAGTTGGAAATTCCTTGAGTAAGGAGAGTGGACATTAAAGCCTCTTCATCCATTTACAGCCTTTTACAAAAGCAACACTATGTGAAACTCAGACCTTTTCTCAGTGCCATCTGAACTGAAATGGGGCTGCTGAAACCAGCTACAGACTCCACAGGGAGGTGAACATTATCATCCCACCTTGTGTATGACTGAACAGTTCAGGCAAAAGCTTAGTTCTGTAATTAGTTACAAGGCTGTTTCTACTTCGAGTTGATCCAGTTGTATTAAACTATATATTCAGGATTCTGTAAATCAGTGTCTGTTCCTGTCTTTGGGTGAACTTGGTGTCAGTTTGTAACAGCTGAAGCAGCAGTGATGTTTCTTTGTAGACTTTTTCCACTGCCTGCGTGAGCTTATTTCCCCCTCAGCCTCATTCCTTCTTTGACTGTCATATCAGCTCGAGCTGTTCAGTGCCAGGAAAATGGTTCTTCATTCTCCTGGAGATAATGCTTGGTGTTCTTCCTTCTGACCTGCAGGAAGTGTATGCCAGGGAGGGAGAACTCAAGGCTTCAGTTGGCTGCAGCACAGCAGCTTCCCAGCTGGTGTTCAGGAGCGGGTTTGTGAGACTGAGGAGCCAAGTTCCAGTTGGAAATAGAGCCCAGCTGATCTTCATCCCTAAAGCCTGTCCCTGGTGCAGTGTTTGCTTTCTGCAGACAGAAGGCTCATTTGCTGGAGTTTTTCCTGGGTTTTTAAGTGCTTTGTGCTCCACACTAGTTTTTTAACTGTGGGTTCTTGTTTCCCTTCAGCCTTTCAGTGTTCCCGCCGTGGAGGGGAGTTGAAGATTTGCCTGCGCAGCGACGGGAGGGTGGACATTGCAGGGCAAAGTGCTGTGGTGTTAAAAGGAACCCTGACTTTCTGAAGGAGCTGGCACTAATCTCCCACACCTTCACGGAACTCCTGTTATGCTGATTTTCTCTCAGCTCTAGGCAGTGAATCCCCCTGTTCTCAGAAGTCTTTGATTCCTTGTGGTCCATTTTAAAAATGGCTTGAAAAATCTTCTGATCTTCAAGATCCTTGGTATTGTTTTCTTCCCTCTTAATCTTGCCACTTCATGTATACACTGACCTGAGAGTATGTTCAAGGGCAGCTGTCTTGTTTTTCTGCTTCTTGGATTGAACTGTAGACATCTCTGATTGATAAAATAATCGAACTTTTCCCAGATTCAGAATTTTCCATGACATCTGACTTCATTTCTTTGAAACATGTATTTTCTCTGCCATATATTAAAATGACAGTCATGTTCATTAATTTAGTTGAATTAAAATATGAAAAATACAAATGTTTTGAAAATGTGCCTCTGGTTTTCTTATGAACAGCATTTTTCAGAGACGAATGGTATTTCAGCTGCTTCTTAGTTGGTGCTTCTGATGAAAGGTTTAGCAGAAAGGTTTCCAAGACTGACATGGTGATGCGCAAAAAGCCAAGTAAACTCTGCAAGGAAATGTTACTGTTACAGCAATGCCAGGTACTTTGCAAAAACTGAAGATTTGCTCCTAAACTAAGAGTTCCTTTCTCCTTTGAAGTGCTGCTTCAGATTTTGTCCCCACTATGTGGGAGTTCCCATGTGGATTTGTTAGGAATTTGAACTGTTTCAGGGGGTTGGCCCCGCTCCCGCGGGTCCCGTGCGGCCACGGGGTTGGCTGCCCCCGGTCCCCTCCCCCCCAGCGGGGAAAGGAGAGAGGGAGCTTTGCCGGCGTGGCCTTGTGCCCTCTTGTGCCCTCGTGAGAAAGGAGAGAGAGGAGAGTGGAAGCCTCGGAGTACACAGAGGTTTGCCGGTCTGGTTTGGGGAGGGGAGGGGGGGGAGGTGAAGGGTACCAGGCAGGCTGTGGGGGTCCTCGGACTGGAGGGTGGTCAGGTAAGTAGTGCGTGGGAAGATATGAGGAAACATGGTGGGGGGAGGACAAGATCAGGGTGGATAATAGTTTCCTCTGGGGCTTGGAGATCTTGGCTGGGCTGGGGCCTGGAGAGGTCCTCGAGCCCTAGGTGGGTACGGTGGCCAGAACAGTTTCGCTCGTTTGTTTGTTTTTGGCTCACCTGCGGCTACTGCCCAGGTTTGGTATGTCCTGGATTTATTTGTTACATCCTGTAAGGTTGGTCAGGACAAAGGGCTGATCCTGGGTGTTTCCCTGGAATTGAATATAGACAGATGGCAGAAAACTAGGTAGTGTAAGACTTGCCCTAATCGTTTTTAATAGTAGGAGTGCAGCCTGTGCACCCCTATGTGGTTGCGAGCTATGCTGGCGATGGTACATGCCTTCAGTAGGGTCACCCATGCCAGACAGGTCAAAACTGTAGGGTCGGATACAATAAATCTGTGGGCAGGATGAGCTCATTAGCCTTCTGGCAGTCATCCTAGGAGAAGGACAACTCTAATCCCAAACCCGGGCAGATGGAGCTCGCTTAGCCCTGTAAGGCCATCCATCTAAGAGAAGGTCACTCTAATCAAACCTACGTCCTGAGGATCTCGCTGCCACCGTCCAAGCTCACTTGGCCCTGGCAGATGAACCTCAGGATTAAAGGGTGGGTTCAGTTCCACGCATACTGCATCTCACCTAAAAATCCATTGCGCAGGCTTGAAGGCTTTACCCACATGCAAAAAGTCCTGTAGCGACGCGTGAGGGTTGAAATGGCAGGTGAAAGGTGCACTGGCAGCCGCAGACTCAACTCTGCATGCAGGCAGTTCAGGATATTGGTCATTTGAGACTGACTGGAGATGACAGTCTCTTGGGGCAGCACCCTGAACGACCAAGCAGCCTTTCTAAGGACAGCACTGCTTGCTCCACTCGGAGAGGGGCCTAGAAAAGGTGGCCTAAACAAAGCTCATCTCCACTTTCACCCGGTTGGTTAACCGCAGGCCAACGGGCATCTTCCTCCAATGCGGTCGCACAAAGATCAAAAGACAAAGGCACGCACCTGCCTCCAAAGGTGTACCTAAATTAACTCTAGCATGTTGGAACATCAGAACCATGCTCGATTCTGCGGATAGCGGACGTCCTGAGCGACGTTCCGCCCTAATTGCCCATGAACTGGCTCGTCTCAATATCGACATTGCTGATAGAAGCCATGTTGCTGAGAACACAGCTGCGATGGGCAGGGCACGTCTCCAGGATGAAGGACCAACCACCGCCTCCCTAAGATCCTGCTTTATGGTGAACTTGCCGCCGGCTGCCGCATGAGAGGAGCCCCGAAGAGAAGATACAAGGACTCCCTGAAACAACATCTCAGCCTTGGCCATATTGATCACCATAACTGGTCTGCTCTGGCCTCCAATCGGGAGGCCTGGAGACACAGCATCTATAACGCTGCTGTCTCCTTCGAGAACACACACAGGATCACTCTCGAGGAGAAAAGGCAACGCAGAAAGAATCGTGTTCTGCAGAATATACCATCTAAGGAGTCTTTCTGCTGTGCCTTTTGCAATCGGATATGTCTGTCACATATTGGCCTCATAAGTCACCAACGTGCCTGTAACAAATGTGGATAGAGCCTTCCCAAATCTTCGTTCGCGAAGCCCAGCCGTGATGATGAACTGTTTCAATTTTTCCTGCTAAAACTCTGCTGTCCCTTTCAAGTCACTTCTGTCCTAAGCTTTGCTTTAGTTCTTTCTCTTTACAGTATTTCAGGGTGAAGTGTTTTGAACTCAAAGACACTTCCATGCTGTGGGAACAGCTGGATGTCAGCCCCTTATAAATGAGGAGGAACTTAGTCATGCCAAAGTTCCCTTATTTCCAGTTATTTTGAGTTTTATGATAACTTGGAACTTTTATCTTACTGAAGTCCGAGGAGCTGGAGACAAGTAACGTGCCCAAATTGCCTGTTTAAACCTAAAATTGACACTTTGACCCTTAATTGCCACATTATGTCTAAAAATCACCAGTTTTGCCCTAAATCCCTAATTTTAACCCCCATTTTCCCTACTCTGACCCAAATTTGCCCTTTTAACCCCCAAATCCCTCATTTTCCCCCAAACATACCCCTTTATCCCTAAAATTGACATTTTTGCTCCAAAATAACAGAATTGTATCTCAGAATCAGGAGTCTGATCTGTTGATTACAGACACATTCCTGTATAGCCTCCCACCTGAGCTCTGGTGGTTTTTCTGTCCTGAACAGAAACAGAGACAAACTGGTACTGGTTTGGTCTGGAAATTTCGGTAACATGGATCTTTAAAATTTATGGGCTTTGTCATTAGTCCTTTTGAGTAAGCAGGAGGTACCAAAAAGAGCTGGGGTTTGCGGACAAGGAAATCTGCAAGTAGCCAACTTAAAATGCCCCCAGATTGTCTCTGGTTCAACTTGCATGGACCTGTCGCCTCAGCCAGGAGTGTCCAATCCTGCTGGGAATGCCTTGGACCACGATGTAATGTCCATTCTGTGCTGGTAAAGACCCACTGCAGGCAGGGACGGGGAACACCAGGGCTGGCTAAAGCCTGGTGTTCCCTGTTCTCCAAAGGTAAGGGATGCAAAGGTGGGACATGCTGTTAGCGCAGGCCCTGCTCCACCAGGATCGTGATTTTCCCTCTGCCCAGCTCTTCTGTCCCTTCACTTGGATTTTCCCTGGAGGTGTGGAATGCCAGGGGCAGCACAGACGGCCAGTGTCCCCCTTGGTCCCCGAATGCCCCGGACTGGACACACACAAAATAACAGGACTATGGAAATCGCCCACACTGGGAGTTTGTGGGGCTCTGGATTAAATCCTGGCTTTATAATGGTAAAGGAGTGGGTGGGGCAAGGGGTGGGGCCTGGGCGGGGCTGTGGCTATTAAAGGAGTGGGTTGGGCTGTGCCAAGATCAGTTTTTGGGCTCACAGAGGGATCCAGTGCTGCGTTTGGGGGGCTCGGAACTGAGCCTGAATCCTGCGATTTTGGGCTCACAAGCAGAGCCCCAGAGCTGTCTTTTGGGGGCTCAGAACCAGAGTCAGTTGGTCAATTTTTGGGGCCTTGGACAGGTGTTACCATTTTCTCTCTTACCTTTTGCATGCCGTGATTCTCCCTTGATCAGAGAAGGCATAGCATGAAGCAGGAGGGGGGAGGTCGTTTCGTTTCTGTGAACTTCAGGCTTGAGAGAGCTGCCGAGCAGCGCCCTGGGGAAGGGGTGAGACATCTCCTGGCACTGCTGGAGTGCAAGGATGGAGCGGAGCCTGAGCGGGAGGCGAGGCACCATCCTTGGACACGCTGCCAGCCTGCGGGACGGGGGGGGGAATTCAGCCATTTGGGGGCTGCCCTCCCTTTACTCTTCCAGCAGATCCCCCTTTTTGGGGGGAGATGTACATATGCCAGTGGCATTATTAAAGGAATGCGCTGCTGTCCAGGGCAGTTTGACTCGTTCTATGCCTGCTTTGGGGGTGAGCAAAAAGGGTGATGGTTCCTCCAGATTAGAAGGAAGGTGCAGAGCACAGCAGTGGTACTGCAGTTTACAAGATGTAAAGGGAAGAAGACTGTCACTTGATCGTGTTGCAAACACAAGGTTCTGAATAGAAGGGACAAGGGGTGAGCAAGCTTTTTGTCCCAGCACATTTCTTTGGGCCAGCCTTATGTAGCTCTTCTCGCACCAAAATCCGTGTGAGGACAGAAGCAGCCTGGCAAACTGATTGTGTGGAAGCAGCACTTTCCTTCTCAGCTCTTCGGACTATCCCATTCTGTCTCTCTAGAAGTGAGCTTGTAAACACAAAAGTTTCCAGCTCCAATTCGCAGAGAGAAATGTGCCGGGAGAAATCTTGTTCAGACTGCTGCTCTGCAGCTTTTAATTTTATTAGCCCATATAACTGAGGATTGCGTGTTTCCGCTTGAGTGGGTTTCAAATAAGAGTTTGTATATGAAAGGAGAAGGCCATCGAAATCTTTCTGTACTGACACTGTTTTTATTTGACGGTAGTGACGTTTTCGACTTTGGATCTGCACTTTGGATGGCGTAGAGAGCGTCATTTACTGCTTTTGCAAGTCCACACCGCCATCGTGTGGTGTTTCCATGAGAGGTGAAAGCGTGCAAGCAGAATCCAAGAGGTTTTTGTCCTGGCACCACGAGTGTAGGAGTAGTTAGCGCAGGTGTTTCAGTTTTGGATCCCGGCTCTTGGAGAACTGAAAGAATGTGATCCTGCATAAAGCTGGGAGGGAGGGCGGGCGAGTGGTCTCACTGTTGGCTGTGCAGTTTCCAGGCTGCAAAAGAAAAGTGGATCCCAGCAGTGGTTCTTTCTTCCAGACCCTTTTCTGCGGGACCAGCCGCGCGCGGGCGCGGGGAGATCGCCTCACGCCGCCATCGCCTCACGCCGAGGGTGGCGGCCAGTCGTGCCCTGGAGTGTGGGTCTCGCTTAGGGTGTCCCGCTCCCTCGGTGCAGCCTTGGGAAGGAGGGAGGGAGGGAGAGAGGAAGGATGGGGATGGTTGCCCGGTGTGGGATGCCCGCGTCTCCTCGGCGTCGTGGTCAGCTGGAGCCGGGGCAGCTCCTGCCTCTCCTTCAGGTGCGGGGCAGACCCGGCCGCCGGGAGGGCCCGTGGGGGCGTTCAGGAGCTGGTGGCGAGCGGTGCCAGAGGGAGGCCGAACTCTGTGTTTTAATTTAAAACACCAGTGCAGAGCGCCGGGGCCGTGCGGGGAGGCTCGGGCCGGGCCGGCGCTCGGAAGTGACGGCTGGACCCTCTGGCTCCTCCTGCCCTCAGGGAAACATTAACTTGGAGCTCTGCTGTCGTTTGGGGGAGAGAAGGTTGGAAAGTCCCCTGCAGGGCACAGCCTGCGGCTGAACAGGCTCAAAGGACAATGCAAATCCCAGTTTTTACGGTTGATGCCTTTACAAACCGGCCGTTTTCTGGAAATCCCGCGGCAGTTTGTCTGCTTGAAAATGTAAGTGACAAAAGCCCCAAACAAGTGTGTCTTGAGGTCCTGCATTGACATTTGCCATTCTGTGCTTGGCCTGAGTACTCAGCACTGCGTTAGACTTTGCTTCCTTCCCTGGGGAGCGCCGCTTGCGAGGGTTGTTTGCTGTTGCTCCAGAACAGAGAGGAATTTTGCATCAGAACGATGTCACACGAGACACCCTTTGTATTTTTTGTGGGCTTTTTGAAATATTTTATTCTTGTAAGGAATATACTGGATGTATTCTAACTGAGTTAAGTCAAAAAGAAATGGCTTAATTTCTTAAGAATGATTCAGAATGAAGATTTTGAAGGATTAAGAAGGATTCAGAATGAAATCTTTGAAAAGTAGTGCTGTAACACAGAATCAGTACTCAGTAGTTTTTGACTGAAGGATTACACTGCACTTTTTGGTTTGGTGTGGGTTTTCTCCCCTTTTTTTTCTTCATTTTTCCTCTGTGGAAAGAAAGAGGGGTAGTATAGACTTGGATCTTAGTCTTTCACTGTTATTGGCTAAAAAGGATTAGTTATTAAAGGAAATATTCAAAGTTAGGAAGGCAAATCTTTATCTCAGAGGTTGAACCTGATCAGGTCCCCTTAGACCTTTGTTTCATTTGAGTCTCAGTATTTTAAGGATCAGACTCTCAAACCTGGGCAGTCAGGAGAACTGTGGGGAAAGCGATGGGACAAGGGCCAGGCAGAATGTTCTACACTCTGTGGGGCTCGTGTATCTTGGGATCAGTGTTCACTGGTTTAGATGGAGGGGCACTTAGTGAGCTCCAGCTTTTCTGTTGGTTTGTTTTTGTTGTTGGTGTTTTTTTTTTTTCAGTTTCTCTCTTCTCAGGTCCCACTGACTCAGTGTATTGTTCTTTAAGGAATGTTGGGGAGGACACGGCCCTGAGGGCTGATGAGCCACCTTGGGCATTCCATCACAGAGCTCTTGGTGGCAGGGATTTTTCAGAGTTATAAAAAGAAAGTTGTAGTTAATTTTAGATTATGTTAATAATGACTTCTCAGTGTGACTTATTACAACCTTAAAAAAAGGTATTTGTGTTTCTGGAAAGGCTGTGTTAAAAGGTTTTTTCACTCTCAGTATATTGAACTAAAACTGAATCTGTGTTTGACAATAATATCAAATGAAATTATTGTATTGGACAGAAAGTTTGATTCTGCATTTTTTGGCCTGCTTTTAATTGGATTTGTTGTTTCATCATTAGGAGTTGGATGAAGGTTTGCACCAAAAAATCGCAACAGAAATGAATCTTTCAGAAACAGCTTTCATCAGAAAGCTGCACCCTGGAGATGACTTTACCAAAAGTGAGTTGGTTCTGTTTACTGCCCAAAATATCTAACAAGGGAATAGGAAGACACTTCTGGATACATTTATAAGGAATGGTGCTAATTTGCAACACAGTAACCCAAAACCTTGGAGTTGTGATGTGTCTTAAGATCAAGGCTTTTGCACATTAGTATTTGTGCTCAAAATTTATTTTACAATATACAAAGACTCATTCATAAATTACACGATTTTTTGTAGTGCCTTTTACTAAATGAGCAATTCATATATAGACAGTCTCCTACAAATGCTGTGCAGAGATCCTTCAATTAATATTTCTCTTACTACTAATAATCTCCTGTGATAATTCCTTATTATACAAGCAGAAGAACAGAGATGGAACATGCTCACTCCATATGCACAGGAGTGCAAAGTGAGTAGAATGTGGCTTGGCTGTTCATGGAATCATCGCTGGAGTAACTAATGTTTGTTATTTGAGTTTATCACAAAATCTCATAAGATGTCTATGAAGCCAATAGTGGAAGATACAAGTTTCCAACAAAGCTGGGAATTCTGAAGTGGCCCAAATCAAACACATTAGGCTGCTCATGTGATTGATTTGAGTGGAGGGAGCTGACTGGTGTTTTTTGGTAGGACACATGTATACGATGGGAGAGGAAATGGAGAGACATGAGGCAAGATAGAAAACATCAGACAAATGCAGATTTCATTCAGACTCACTCTGTGGATTAGTTTTCAGCTGAATCAGTTTGCTGAATCTGCTCGCTTTGCAGTTGTGTGGTGGCATGAGCCAAGGGCCTGGAACCCCACTAGTCTGGAGTTTGATTCCAGGTTAAGGTGTCGTGTTTATCACCTCTGTCATTTGATCGATTTGTTCGGGGAGTAGGATTTTGTACGGTCTCTGAAATTAAAAATATTAAATACAGTAGTAACTATTTGCTTACTCCTAGTGTTAATAGATTGGAATTTGTTTTAGGGTTAGACTAATTGCTTGAAGCAAGAAGTGATAATACTTTTCATTTTTCATGTTAATACCTGGCCAATATGTTTAATGCATTTATTGATTTTGAAGTCATCTATATCTAACAGCTAATAAAACATCAGCTTCTTTATTGTTAAAATGCTTTTGATACTGATGGGACTAGTTTGTGACATCAGACTCACACAGCTGCTGGAGAGGTGCCCAGTTCTTTCAGAGGAGTTCAGTTGAGGCTGTCACAGTTTGTTGGGTTTGTTCTTACCAGTGACATCTCGGATGTCGCTGGTTTCTGGCTCCCCAGCAGCACCAGAGGTGCCAGTTCCACCTCTCAGGGATGTGCCTGTTCCCAGGCTGGAGGCAGTTCTGGAGCATCCTTTGGCTCTGCACATCCTTTGCTCCTGTATCAAAGTAGCTCTTCTTGTAGGTAGTAGAGCCCAGTTGCTGAGCTGACTAAAAAGTGAGAGCTGTGCCAGAAATCAGTGCCAAACGGGCTTCTAAAAGTGTGTTTAGGACCAAGACTGCTTATAAGGTGCATTTTGTTTAACTGAAACATCACCACTGTGTGTAAAGTGTTGAGATCAAATGAAGAAATAGACTCTTCCACCTCCTAACAGCACATCAACTTTCTTTTCCAGGTTCCTGCTTTGGACTCAGGTGGTTCACCCCAGCCAATGAAGTTCCTCTCTGTGGTCACGCTACCCTGGCATCGGCTGCTGTGTTGTTTCACATACAAAGTATGCTTACAAACTGGATATTTTATATAGAAACATTTTAGAAAATTTACTTCTGACTAAGATCTTCATTTTCTACAACAAAGGGAATTAAATATTCATAACATAACAGTCTTGTACAACTGCTCTGTCATTATAAGGCTGTAGTCTGATGGCTACACCTGCATAATTAACTTTTTCTGAATATACTGAGCTACTCCAAGAGCTGTAATAATTTAGATTCAAATTCTTGTGTTTGATAACGTTACAGTGTTCTCTCTCTAGAAAATACAAATCCAGTCCTCACATTTGTGACACTGAGCGGGGAATTAAAAGCCAGACAAGTGAAAGATCACATTGTCCTGGACTTGCCACTTTATACAGCCCATCCTCAGGTCAGTCAAAGTGTTATTCCTGCCAGGCTTTCAGGGAAATGTGTGTTGATGTTTGTATGTGTATGTTGATGTTTTATGTGTATGTAATATATATGTGTGTCTATAGTTGCATAAATACATACATCTATCTATTTTATTTTTTACAGTGCCTTTTTTTCCCCCTTCTTCAGGTACTTGAGGAAGTAGAAGAATTAATAAAGGTAAAAATAGAATCTGTATGTTGTCTTAGAAGAACATTTGTAATAGCTCTACTTATTTTTGTATGTTAAAATGGTAACCAGGCCCTGCTTGTTGTACTCCTGAACTTGAAACACCAAACTTCCAAGGTCTGAGTCAGGAGTCAGTAGGTCGGGAAATGGAATTCTCCAAAATGCTGCAGTTGAACCTGTCTCCCACTACTGTTGACTGGAGTGTCCTTGCCCTCTTCTAGGTCCTGGATTTCTTTCTGGGTTACTGTCTGTGGAGCTCTTGCCACCCACCCATATCCATTCACGCACTCAGTGCCTTTGCTTGTCTTGCTTGCCTGTACTAGAGAACCCTCTAGTATGAGAGACCTTGCACTGGGACTGTTGTAGCAGGGAGTGTGTTCCACAAAATGTTAAGGAAACAGTATTTCATATTCAAGTGATGATTTTTTTTTTGTCTCCTTTACGTTTTCCACCAGGCAGCAGTTGGTGACATGACTGTTCAAGATGTCCGTTACTCTCCTGACACAAAGAAACTATTAGTCCGTCTCAGTGATACTTATGAAAGGTGTCTAATACTTCTTTTTTTTTTTTGAAATCAGGAGTGCAGAAATTGGGTTGGCTTGTGTAATCTCTCTTCCTTACATACTAAGCTCTCTTATCTAGTTTTAAATCAGGTGGAGATTAAAACTCTAATTTAAGTTTCTGTTATTTTATCTTCCAGTTTGAACTTATTGAACCTGCAAAGGTGAATAAGGTCAATCTGAAATCTGTTTTGAAGAAAAGGAGGTGTAGGAAACAGTTTTAATGATGGTTTATTTTGCCCTTCCATCTGAGTCTAAAATGATCCAGTAACCTAGCAGGAAGTTAGGAGTCCTGCTTTGATTCAGAGCACATTGCCAGAATGCCAGGAATTCTTACACTCAATGGACTGTAATCTGCTTTCACATGCTTAACAGCATTGTAAGTAGCTTTACAGAGAAAATTCCAATTCAAATTATTCCAAAGCATTTGTGACTCTCACAGAGCTGAATTTCATTGTTAATTCAAGTATGACTCAGCTATATATTGTGGAAAGACAACTTCTTTAATCAGACCAAGTTACTACTATTACAAACTTGAAGTTTGGCCGAACTAATGTTTAAAGATTGGGGTAGTGGGAAGATAGAAATACATGGAACTGTCCTCATGTGAGTACTTATTATTTCTACTCTTTCAGACTTTATTTTGCAGAGAGGTATTGGACAGTTGTAGACTGCTTTAGAATGCCACAAAGAGCTGAATGGTGTTATTTGCTTGCTCTGAAAGGAGATGGAGCACTTAACTCTGTGCGTTCTGTAGTGAGGAAATATTTCTTTCAATGATTAAAATGTTAAAATAAAAGTTTGATTTTTTTTTGTAGCTGCTATTCTAGGATGCTCCATTTTCAGAAATAAATAAAAAATGCATGGCCTGAACTTTTTTTTTCTCTGCTCACTCAGAGTGTATTATATTCAGGATGATTTCTGTCAAATAACATTGAGAGGACAATGTTTCCTCTAATATTTTCAGGCTGTTTGTGAATTGTAGAGAAGATGATTTTATAGTTTTATATTTCTCTTCAGTACTTACATTCAAGTAAAATGAAGAATATGGGCTATTAAAATTTTATAATTTATATTCAAGGTCTGTGTTGGAAGAACTGAAAGTGAGTGCACAAAGCTTTTTGTCAGCTGAAAAGACGGGAAAAGTGAAAGGACTCATACTCACTCTTAAGGGAAATTCCAGTGGGAAAGGCCACGATTTTTACTCCAGATATTTTGCACCTTGGTATGGAGTTTTGGAGGACCCTGTTACAGGTGTGTGTATGATAAGCAACTCTTCCTTTTGTTTCAGTTCAATCAAAAGGTTCTTATTAAACGGCATGAATCTGTTTTTGTTCTTTGGAGTCTTTTATAACTTCCTGTTTTATATGGCCAGCAGGAGTGTGCTCACTAAACTGAAAACTTTCATGACCGATGACAATTTATTCAGCAAAAATCCAGTCAGCTTCTTGCTGTCGTTAGGCAAGACATTGCTGTGTCTTTTTCAGATCTTTTCCCTGAAGTGTTCTAGTTAGAGAAAAGTGAGAGACTGGTTCAGGGTTGGATGAGTATTGCAGTAGAAATTCATGTCCACTTCCATCAGTGTTCTGTTTTTTGTGTTGGTGGCTAATGCTGAAGCCCTCAGCTAAGCAAAATTTCCATTGAAGCCAGAGGACAAGGAAGTAATACTGCTTTATTGTAAATAATGGCAATTATAAAGCCTTAAGTTCTGTCTGCTGTGCAAACTCGTAGTTGGTTTTCTTTTTGCCTTAGGCACACCTGGCACTTGATGTATGACATTTACATTTTGCCTGTGCTTGCTCTATAAAATAGTGATTATAATTTAGTTCTGTACTTTTTTTCTCAATTTCTTTTAAGGATCTGCTCATGCTGTTTTAAGCAGCTACTGGTCAGAGCAACTGGGGAAGAAAGAAATGCTTGGTAAGAGAAACTGTTTTATTGCAAAGCTGCCCATTTATTATCTACTCCCTAGAAAAGACAAGGGTTTATTATTACTGCAGTCCAAACTGTAGTATTAAGTCCCTGTCCATTTTCTCAGTATGAGTAGAACATGATGTAATATTTTGCATGTGAGGTAATCTCTGATAAATTGCTTTCTTTCCTACCCACCACCATGGCACATCCTGCCCACAGGGAGTTGGAAGTGTCGGTTTGTGGATCATAACTCTCTGCAGAGAGTTTTTGATTTCAGCTTTTGGATTTTAGTTCTCCTGACCTTTTATCACAGGTGAAGCTGGTGAAACTCAGGTGATGCTGTTTACGTGTTTTGATTGGATTTTACTTTCCTGCTTGGTCTTTCTGGTTTCCATGTTGGGTATTGGGAAGAGGTATCAGTATTTTCATTAACCATGTGTACTTTCCAGTACACTTTGAGCAGTGTTTTCCTTTCCCCTCATGTATACTGAGACCAAAACACCTCATATAATTTCTGGTCCATGTTGGAATTTTCTTGAGAGTTGTTCCAAATGAATCGTTTCACTGACTTACTTAGGAAGCTTAGTAGCCTCTGTAATACCCAATACTTCTTATTGGAAGAATAAAGGAAGAGTTTCTTCTGTAAAATGAAGGATCTGTTAGTTCCCAAACAGATTGCATATGAAATAATACAAAAGTAAGAAACAATAAATCCATTGTCAGATCTCTCTGGCTATGGTGACCTCTAGGAGGAGGCTACAAAGAGAATTTTCCAGGTGAAATACTTTATGATCTTTCTTGAAACTGTGTACATGTCCCTGAATTTAAGCTGCTGGCTAAATCAAGGTTCAATATCAATCCTTGACTTTCTTTCATTTGAGGAATCTCTGCAATGTTTATAGTCTCTTATATCAAATGTATGGACTTTCTTATTTGTTAATGAGTGCAGTGTATAGCAACTGTCTGTGTATCCAGCCCTTCACATGGTTTTCACATTTCTAAGGTAATATTTATAAACGTGCATAAGTAATTCCATATCACCAAACAGACTGGCTTCCCAAAATCCAACCAAAATACTGGTGATTTTTTAAAACATATTATTGCAAAACCGGCACTTTTTCCTGAGTTGATGTCATTACGATGACATCATGAGGAAAATCCATTAGTCCTTAAACCATTTTGCCCCTTTTGTGTGCAATGGCCATTTAGCTACGTCTGGACTTAGAAGAAGCTCCTCATAACAACAGGATACTCTTAGCATAAGGCACTGGCTGACTTGTGAGGGCAGGGGTGTGTGATTCTGTGATATCAGCATACTCAGCTTCACAGTCCCTGTGTCAGGTTAATCACAGAGGAATTCAGAGCACTTTGAATGTAGCTGTTATGTATTGTTTCTGCAATTGCACATACTTGATTTTATGGAAAATATGTAGAAAATCTACATATAGTATGAGGTGTTCCTAGTAAATCCGGACGTGGACTGGACATGCAATAACCCTGTGATCTAAAAGGTGAGTGCACACCAGAGATGCTTGAATGTCTGCAGAGGTATTGCTGGTGAATGAAATCTTCTAGTTATTGAAATGTGCCCTGCAGGCCTGGTTGCCCTCAGACCTAGTGTGAAATATCAGTGCTTCTGTGGAGAGAAAGAATAGATCAGGTATTATTTTCATATAAGCTTGGCTAAACCTTCCTTTTGTGAGTTATTTTTTGGTTTTCTCCTGTTTTGGAAGTTTCTTTAAAAATAAAATGAGATGGACCAATATGAAAACAATCTCAGTAATTCTGCCATGAAACAGCCAGTACTGCTTGAATATTTAACAAGAAAGAAACCAACCACAACCAACCTCTGAAGATATGAAATAATTAATCTCTTTTATTTATATCTGCTATCACAAGGGTGTGGGAGAGCTTAGGTGTGTATCCACTCTTGACAATAATAATAGATCAAATGTAGCATGGCCTGAATCTTTAAGAGTCAAAAATACCCAATTGAAGCATTATTCCATTCCTAGATGATGTTCTGACAAGTTAAAACCAATAACTGGTGGTTCTATAAATGGAAAAGAACAGAAAGTATCAATATCAATCTTTAGATAGGTCCTGTTTCCACTGTTTTAGAGTGTCTACTTTGTCTGGGAATCTAAGATCCTGATCAAAAAAGAGCTTTCTTATCAGCAGTTTTAAAGCATACAGCATATATGCCATCTGTTAGAGAGCCTGTGGTCTGCAGGGATCTGAGTACAGTCTGTGTCTAATTTAAAAATTGTGGGGCTGAGAGGAAAAATATGCCCTTTAGTTTTGAACAACTCCGTGAGCAGTTGGAAATTCGTTGAGTAAGGAACTGGACATTAAAGCCTCTTCATCCATTTACAGCCTTTTACAAAAGCAACACTACATGAAACTCAAACATTTTCTAAATACCATCTGAACCAGACCATTTTCTGATCAAGATGTTGTGCAACTAAAATGGCTCTGCTGAAATAAGTTACAGAGTCCACAAGTGAAGTGAACTTTATCATCCCACCTGTGTATGACTGAACAGTTCAGGCAAAAGCTTAGTTCTGTAATTAATTACAAGGCTGTTCCTACTTCAAGTTGATCCAGTTGTATTAAATTATATATTCAGGATTCTGTAAATCAATGCCTGTTCCTGTCTTTGGGTGAACTTGGTGTCAGTTTGTGACAGCTGAAGCAGCAGTGATGTTTCTTTGTAGACTTTTTCCACTGCCTGCGTGAGCTTATTTCCCCCTCAGCCTCATTCCTTCTTTGACTGTCATATCAGCTCGAGCTGTTCAGTGCCAGGAAAATGGTTCTTCATTCTCCTGGAGATAATGCTTGGTGTTCTTCCTTCTGACCTGCAGGAAGTGTATGCCAGGGAGGGAGAACTCAAGGCTTCAGTTGGCTGCAGCACAGCAGCTTCCCAGCTGGTGTTCAGGAGCGGGTTTGTGAGACTGAGGAGCCAAGTTCCAGTTGGAAATAGAGCCCAGCTGATCTTCATCCCTAAAGCCTGTCCCTGGTGCAGTGTTTGCTTTCTGCAGACAGAAGGCTCATTTGCTGGAGTTTTTCCTGGGTTTTTAAGTGCTTTGTGCTCCACACTAGTTTTTTAACTGTGGGTTCTTGTTTCCCTTCAGCCTTTCAGTGTTCCCGCCGTGGAGGGGAGTTGAAGATTTGCCTGCGCAGCGACGGGAGGGTGGACATTGCAGGGCAAAGTGCTGTGGTGTTAAAAGGAACCCTGACTTTCTGAAGGAGCTGGCACTAATCTCCCACACCTTCACGGAACTCCTGTTATGCTGATTTTCTCTCAGCTCTAGGCAGTGAATCCCCCTGTTCTCAGAAGTCTTTGATTCCTTGTGGTCCATTTTAAAAATGGCTTGAAAAATCTTCTGATCTTCAAGATCCTTGGTATTGTTTTCTTCCCTCTTAATCTTGCCACTTCATGTATACACTGACCTGAGAGTATGTTCAAGGGCAGCTGTCTTGTTTTTCTGCTTCTTGGATTGAACTGTAGACATCTCTGATTGATGTCAGATTCAGAATTTTCCCAGATTCAGAATTTTCCATGACATCTGAGTTCCTTTCTTTGAAACATGTATTTTCTCTGCCATATATTAAAATGACAGTCATGTTCATTAATTTACTTGAATTGAAATGTGAAAAAATACAAATGGTTGAGAAACGTGCCTTGTGGTTCTCTTTTATGAGCAGCATTTTTCAGAGATGAATGGTATTGCAGTTGTTCATAGTGCTGCTGCTTAGTCAATGCTTTTCATTAGAGCAGAAAGATTTAAGAGATTGATGTAGAGATGCACATAAAGCTGATTAAACTCTGAAAGGAAACTTTATTGGTTACAGCAATGTCAGTTACTTTGCAAAGACTGAAGATTTGCTCCTGGAAGTGTAGATACCCTTTCTGGAAGAATTTTCTTCCTAAAGTGCTGCTTCAGATTTTGTCACCACGACATGGTCTTTGGCTGGATTTATTAGGAATATTGAACTGTTTCAGTTTCTCCAGCTGAAACTCTGCTGTCTCTTTCAAGTCACCTCTGTCCTAAGCTTTAGCCTTAGTTCTTTCTCTTTGCAGTATTTGAGAATGAAGTGTTTTGAACTCAGAGGCATTTTCATAATGTGGGAACAGCTGGATGTCAGCCTGTTATAAATAATGAGGAACTTAGTTGTGCCAAGTTCCCTTATTTCCAGTTATTTTGAATTTTATCATAGCTTATCACTTATATCTTGCTGAAGTCCAAGTACCTGGAGACAAGTCTCTATATCCTGTAGCTACACAGAACATACCAATAATGTGATTTAAATGCACTATTGAGGTCAAGGGCTAGATGGCAAGCAGAAGGAGTCTCCAAATGGAAATGCCCATTCTTCTGTACTCAGTCTTGCTGAAGTTCACGGACCTGAAATATTATTTATAAACATGGAGTCATCATCACACATCAAACACAGGCAGCTCAGCAGCCCTGCTGCAGTGGCAGGTTTATCCTTGGCCTCACCTTCTCACAAATCAAACTGGTCACTTCCTGGCTGGTGACATGGATCTCCTTGAGCAGCAATGCTGCAAGCTTGTTCTGCTTGTGGTTTGTGCAAAGGCTCAGTCTGGCCTATAATCTGAGATGCTTTGGGAAAAAAAATCCCTTCTTTAAGAATATAAATGAACTAAAGGGCCAATTGTTGTTCACCCATCCACATTTAACACATGGATGGTTCAATTATTATTTTTTTACTCTATGAGGACTAATGATGAACAAGGCACATAAATTTTAAAGATACTTATTATCTAAATTTCCTGACTAAACCAATATCTTTGCTGCTTAAAGCGGTTTTTTTTTATAGTTTACTACTACTTTGTCTCTATTTCTTTTCAGGATAGAAAAATCACCAGAGCTCAGGTGGGAGGCTATACAGTAATGTGTTTGTAATCAACAGATTAATTAACCAGCCATGATTTATTAATGATGAATTAATTATACCTTATTGTGCAGTTCTGCTGCCTA